CTACCCCACCTCCAATAATGGTGAGGAGCTGCGACTTTCCATCAGGCCTTGGAACTTGTTTAAAAGTCGACTTGGTTCAAAGGCATCTTGTTCACCAACCCTCCCCACTCCACCCACGTTCACCCTGCCTCGGGCCTCTCTCCACAGCCCCCCAAACCCCTGCCAGCCGCCACGGCACACAGGAGTCCCTGACGCCCATGCACACACACACAGGTGACAACGGACACCCACATCCCAGCCGGAGCACCAGAGTCCTGGCCTTATAGCCAGAAGGTCCTTTTCAACTGGCACTGTGGAGCTCGGCAGGGCCCCACCGGCCACCAGAGCCAGCTGCCCGGCGTTCCTCACGGAGCATGGGGCTGCCGGACCGAGCCGGCCGCGCAGCGACCCCTAGGTCTGGCTATGCACCGCTCGGCGGCCCTGCCCTTGGCTCAGTGGAGGAGAGACAAGGAGGAAGGCCGCCCAGGACAGGAGCAGCCTCCAGACCAGCACGGGCCTGCCCGACCCACCTCTGTGTCAGGCGGAGACGGGCTGAGGGTCTGGGAAGCGGGGTTCTCCCAGCTCGCCCGCCCAGAGCCCCAGGGCTGGAGGCCGTCGGGGCTCGTCTGCGGCCACCGGAGCCCCACTGCCAGTCCTCCACCTGTGCCTGGACCTGGCTCCTCCTTCCTAAAGCCCCGGGCGTCTCCAGCTCTCCGGTTGGCGGAGGGTCATTGCCGACGGGAAGGGCAGAGCTGGTGAGCTTGACCTCATTAAGAGCACATTCAAGTCAGGCCCAGCCTCCAGGATGGAGCTTCTCTCCTGGCTGGGCACCCTGGGTCCACCTCCGCCTAGCTTAGCCTTTGATGCTAAACAGAGTGGAGGGCTGGAGGGAGGACTCTCTTTGGGGAACCTCAGCCACTGGAGCCCTGGGTCCTTGCCGCCCCGCCCCCTCTCCAGCGGGCTGCTTCCCACGCAGGTTTCTCATTGCTTCTTAGTTCTCTTCGTGCAAGTTTCTGGGTAGGGGGCCAAGAAGAGAAGGGAAGAGGCAGCTAAGTCCCCCAGGGTCTGTTAGGACCCCAGTCCCTGGCCCTGGGCAGAGAATGGCTACAGTCACTGGGTGCCCCGGCTCTGTCTGTGGCTCCCTTGGGGCAAGTCCACAGTCCTTGCTAGTTCTAATCGCTCCATAACTGGCTAGTCCTCAGGCGGCGTTTCCAGGTGGGTTCTTCCAGCTCACATACCTGGTGTCTTCAGGAGTCTACAGTCATCTCGTGACCTGAATGGAGGCATACAGGCAGAGCACTGCAGGGTGGCATTGCCGGGCTGGTCCAAGGTCAAGACAAAGCCTGCTGCCCCTACACGCCCCCCCCCCCAAACCCCCAGGTTCTGAAAGCTACAGGGTGGCAGAAGCCAAGGTGGGCCTTTGCTGCCAGGGAGTGGGAAGGAGGTGGCGGATCCTGGTGTCTGCATCCTGACACTGGCTTACATTCCACCTCACTCTGGGTCACACGGGAGGGCTTATCTCACCTGTGTTTACCTGTTGCCCTGAAATGTGACACTGGAGTTTGCTAAACAGGACGGTGGTGGAGCCAGTGGGGCTCTGGTCTGCTTTGGATGCGGGGGAGAAGGGGTGGATGGCCCTGGGAGGCGGGTGGGAAGCAGGAAGAAGCTGCAGTTAGGGACTTCCCAGAGGGAGCTCGGAGTGCCCATTCTTGATCCCTGGAGTCTGCCACAGCAGGAAAGGAGCCCAGGCAGTTGAGGGGGGGGCGGGGTTCTGGAAGGAGCAGGGGCATCTAAGGGGGGGGAGGGGCGACAGCCACAGGAACAGGGAGAAAGTCTGACTCTGAGCAGAGGAATTACAGCCTCATTAGGAGCTGGTGATTAGTAATTACTATTATGGGCATTTTTGTTGCTAATTACAGGCAGTGGCTCCGTGTCTGTCCTCAGGCCCCAAAATGGGGAAACAGAAGCCTTCCCGCTGCTGCAGGAGTCCCTGGGGCTCCCCGATCTAGGCCAACCGGAGGCGGAACTAGGGGAGAGGGCCCTGTCGGTGTCCAGGTCACCCCAGGGGCAAAGCATGCTGCCGACCAGGCCCAAAGTTCCGCCTCAATCCCGAGATCCCCAACGGGCCTAAACCGAGGCCACCACCCAAGTCCGTGGATGAAACTCCTGCGGAGTCCACTCTGCCGGAACGAAGCAGCAGGGAGTGTGCGACTGTGCTCTGGCTGCCGCGTGACGGATGGGGAGCAAGGTGGCCCCAGGGGTCCCTGCGGGTACCCTGGGCGCGCTCCCCACCTGGGCTGCCAGGACCAAGCCGGCGAGCGCAGCTCAGGGGAGGCCTACCCTACCTGTCCGGGCACAGGACCTAGGGGGACCGCGCACCCGACGTCTGCGCCCTAGGGCGGCCAGGCCCCTGGCGACCGGGAGCCATTCTGGAGCGCGCCGCGCCCAGCCTCGTCCGCTGGCTCTTTCTGGGGGCGGAGGATGGAGAGAGAAGAGGCACGTCCCGTCCCAGGCCTGCTCGGCGCCGCCTCGGGCCGGCGCGTTCCACTCGTTTACTTCCTGCATCCGCACACCTAGTGGACAAACGAGGGCCGCCCAGGCCACGGTGGCTTCTCCCATCGCCACGACGGGCAGCCAGGTTTCCCTCCCGCTGTTTTGGTGCTGTCTCCGTGAAGAAAAGGTCCCCCGCCCCCAAGAATCCACAACCGTAGAATCATCTGCTTCCGCCAGCGAGTAGCTTCTCAGCTACGGTTCCCGTTCTCAAAGTTTCCACGATGGAGAAAGCCGGCAGGACTCGGCCTCTCCCCGATTCTCCAAGTGCAGCGAGGCCGGTCGTTGCCAGATGACCTGTTAATACTTGTGGGGGGCCCGGGAACGCCACGCCCGTGTCGGGTGTCACGCCGCGCCGGTTCAGTGGAACGCCGAGGGCACCGGGATGCACGTCTGCAGGATGTTCTGGAAAGCAAAGGCAAGCCGACCTGGGAGCAGAGGCCGCTCCTGGTCGACTGTCACCGCGCCCCCGCCAACCCCTTCCCCGCCTCCCCAACCGTGGAAAAGCAGGCGCCGAGATGTTTTTGTGAAACGGCGGACACACCTCGGCTTCGAAACAGCAGACCCCGGTGTCCGACAGCTG